TTTGCCCCAAACTAGATGGAATTAACATAGAATTTGCATGTCAGCAAAGGGGAGACTCGTAAATACCCGTAGAACCGATTTTCGTTCCGATATCTTGAGGTCAGTGTTCAAGGGATCTCTTTGAAAATAGCCATGGCATTTTTTCCACACCAAAATTAGCCCCCTTCCCCACATGCTAGCATGACATGGTAGCAATTGCTGCGTTAGGTCTAGTTTCAGAAGACACCAGTATCTTCACTATAACTTTAAAATGGAGTCCGCTACAGCCTCTGAACGACAGGCGAGTGCAAGAGGTAAGGGGAATGGGGTTGCACATGGAGTGGCCAATCAGATTTCAGGTGTAGCAAGCACCACCCCCCTGTGGGTTCGTTCCTATGGGCAACACCTTTCAGTTACACATAGTTATCCATTGTTGATATAAACATATTGATTATTGCAGATTCAAATTCCTCTTTTCTTGGCCAATACATATAAAACAGCCCCAGATCCAATTTACATAAAAGCACTTTGAGCCATACTGCATGCTGTAGTGTATTATTATATAAATTAATTGGTTAATTTTTTCTTAGATAGAAGAATAATCACATTTGCCCCTTTATTTTAAAATTATTTAAAAATCTATGTTTTGTGCAAATTTGTGTCACAGAAATATATGTGGATTTATTTGTGTAGTACACTCCCAAAATACCCCACTCAAGGTCAGAGTGTGTCACAGGGACCATATGTTCAATGTTTTTAGCTCTGCCTCTTCTGTGCCAAAGACAGAGGGCTGAAAGGAGCCGACATGTTGTGCGTTTGGTTCGTGCAGTTATGAATGAGCAGCTATAACCAGCACAGATGAGCACGCATTAACAGATGTTATCAATGAAACAATAGGAGGAACCCTCTGTGCTGCAGCATTTCTCTGCACCACTTGATGGCACTGCTCCTCCTCTCTCGTCATCCTGTCCTCCCTTCACCACTCCCTACCTCCATGCACTCCTTTTCTCTCTCGCCCTTTTCCTGCGTCTCCTCATCTCATGTAGGGGGAAGATTAGAATCGCCAGAGAGCACAACGAGGATTACCAGATCGATATCGGAGACAATCTCTTTCTCCCATCTCTTTTACATGGTCTATCCCTCCATTTCCCTCTCCTCTCTGCCTCTGTCACTCACTTGCGCTCTGTGGTTAATTTGTGTTTTCACCCTCTGCCCTTCAAGTCACTCTTTGCTTCTGGGTATATAAGGGAAAAACGAGAGAGAGAAGGGGTGGAATGGGGGGTTGGACAGATAAGGAGACAAACGTGCACAAAAAAAAAAAAAAGACAGATACAGCTGAGATGAGAGATTTTGTTTCTTTTCACTGAGATACAATTGATTTACCACGACCTGATTTCACACACAGTCATAATATTCAATGCTGTTAATTCATCACACAACACCGGCTAAGCTGAGGCTCCGGGAGAGACGGCATAACCCATTTCATACACGGACACAGATTCATAGCTGAGTGGCGATGATAAAAACACCTAGAGGTATTTTTCTGTCCTTTCAGACAGACTGAGGCCTGAGGAAGAGAGGAGAGGAGAGGAGAGGAGAGGAGAGGAGGAAAAGGACAGAAATAAACACAGATACACACACACAGGTGCACAGATCCATACCAGTTTAAAATAACAAGTGGAACCGAGGAGGCTTGTTTGTCCAGTTCCCTGGTACACAGAGAGGTGGTAAATGAAATCCTACAAAAAGAAGATTAGTCAATAAACTCAGGTAAACACTTATAGTTGTGTGTGTTTGTGTGTGTGTGTGTGTGTGTGTGTGTGCGTGCGTGAGTGCATGTGAGAGAGGGGGGGTAGAGAGAGGGACTCATCTTTTATGTATGAGTGTTTGTTTAGCTGCACTTGCAGCTGTGCCTGGGTTACTTCCCATCTCAGTCACACACAACTGACTAATAAACCTCCTCACAAAGTGTAAACACACCTCTAGAGACACTCCAGTTCAAACTGTCTGAACGCCACTATATTTACTATATATTAAGTCCGGACAATCAGTTCAGGAACAAACCAAAAAAACATGGATTTTGGTAAGTTTATAGGTGTGTAAATTTATAAAAACATACAATATTCTCATTAGTTTTGATGTGGCTCCAAGTTTTTCACCTGAATGGACTTGCAATGCATTTTAATTTGCTTGTTTGTGCATTTTTGTCAGTGAACAGTGAGTGTGCGTTTGTGCAAGTGTGTGTGTGTATTAGCCACCCCCTGGTACAGAGTTCTTTCTGGGACAGTGCGCTTCACAATCATCTGTTCCTGACCAAACACCCATTTCCTGTGTCCAACTGAGATACAAGCTGGCCACACGAGCACGCACACTCTCTTTCTCTCTTGCATAATCAGTCAAGTAAAGTCTGCCAAAACTCATGGCCGAATCAGCAAGTCCAAAAATCAAAAAGACTAATGTGAATAACACACACGCACGGACACATACACACACAAATTGAACATGACTCTACAGATGTGTGTGAGTCTCATTGATATGCGTGAGCAGAGCCGTGTTATTGGTTCCTACGGGCTCGTTTGGGGCTAATTAGAGAGAGTAATGAGATAAGAGGAGTGGGAGAGGGAGGCGATGCTCTGATGGATGTGGGGAAGGGGACGGCATCTCAATGAAGAGAGACTCCCAGGGAGGGAGAGAGATCAAATTAGAGGATGAAAGGGAACAAGAGCGAAGGTAGAGAGGATGGAGTAATGCAGAGAATCAATAATGTGGGCTGAAAGGGAACCTCGGCGCCTAGGGGCAAACGCTCACGACAAAACAGATCATTTCGACTCTGCTGCAGACATGTTCACTTAAACTTGAGTCGTGCGCATAGTTACCATCAATTATTTATTTCCATGTCTGTCCCCGGCACATAACACTGGCAGCCATATAGTGAGAGTCTGTCTGTGTTAGGGTCAGATCAACAATCATAAAATGTATGTGAACAAACACAGAAGTAGTCAAGTAGTCAATTCTGGGGGGGCAGAGTCACATTTTTCTTGTTCTTAAAAACTACATTACTCAAAAGGAATTGTTAGTTAATACGCTTATTTGCTTTCTTGCTTGGAGTTATATGACAAAATGAATCTGTAGCCACACATTATGTAATAACTAAAATGTAGTATATTTTCACTTTTAACATTATGTAATAAACAGAAAAAATAAATCATTACACATTATGGTGGTTATTACAAAAAAGTAGTTGCACCTTCTATGATGAAAATGTAATAATATGGTGGATTATTTAATAACTGAGCAAAATGGATCTTCATCTGTAAACATATTTACCTAAATCAAACTTCATCTTACAAATACAAACTCAGTGACTTCATGTCAAATGCTGACCTGCAAAAACTCATTTTGACAACTCAGACGCTTTTATGTCCAGCAGGATTTAAAACTTTCAAATTTTTGTATAATATGTAATAATTTAAATTTATAAAATTATATGATTAAATAAATGTGGGATAATGTATTACATATTGGGTTCAGGCTGTTTAAAATAAGACCGATTTTTTTTACAAAATGTCGGTGTTCTTACATAATGAATTTATAATTGATTACATTTTGCCAAGTTATTACATAATTCCTCCTGGGACCCAGTCCAATGATTTGTGTCCTCTGTAGTGGAGATATGGTTCAGACAAATCACCTTATACTCTATCAATCCCTGTTGTACTGTAAAGAGGACATTCTGGACTTCCCCGTCATATATCATTTGATAGGCTGAGATGCTGAGAACTTCCTCTTTCTTTCTTTTCAAAATGGACATTTTATAGAGGCAAATCCAATATTGTTTATCTTTTGTTACTATGATGACTATGATGTTCTTGTTTATTACCATGTTAGGAATTATATATTTAGTTCTGAAACAGTGCACGGCTATAATAAATTTTTGTTTTTAAATTAATTGCTCTTTTATGTCAATTTTAGTGGACACCAGGACCATCTTCATGTACTTAATTACTTCACATTGTTGTAGGAGAAAGAACTGAAGCAGAAAGGATTAGCAGTATCTTGTAAAGACAAGATAATTAAGGGAGATACAGATTTGGACCTGTCAGATGATGAGAGAGATGAGGATGAGTTTTTAGCTGTGACAGAAGAAGATGATGATGAAGAAGAAGAAGAAGAGAAAGAAGATGGAGTAGGCTCAGATGAGCAGACAGATACAGAAGCAGACAAGCACGAGCAGGAAAGACAGCTACAGGAGTAGCACGTTTGTTTCATTCTGTTCCAGTGATTGATATTCATGGTAAAAGTACTACAAATTCTATTTTTACAATGAATGGATAATTCCATGTAACGCACACAATACAGACACAGTGGTATCCCAAGTGGTGTTGGCTCAACAAAGTTTGTACTTATGAGTATGGTAGGAGACCATATGACAGCTTTATAATTACACCACTCAATGGTCTGTTATTTCTGAATAGCAGACTGTTGCTATAGTCGGACAAAATCATATTTAAATGAATATTGTGTGTGAAATTATCAATTTTTATGTAATAAGGGGGATAACGCACAGCAAGCGGGTCAGTGTTACTAAATAAACCCCTTCAGGGAGATTCAAGACCTGCATCACCCTGTTAAGGTTTATTTCTTACCAATAACATTTAAACTGTTACATTTTTTATCTTCTAAGTTTAGATATTTACCATAAGATTCTTGGTCCTTTGGTCCACTGTAGTGGACATGCTATACAATTTTAAATATAAACAAACCTGAAAAAGTCTAAATTGTAAGATGTTTTTTAACCCTAAAAAAGTAGTAAAACACAAGAAAAATGACAAATTGGATGACCTGAATATTTTTCTTGGTTCTCAGGAGGTGCAGTGCAGTAGGTTAACATGTTGAAAACATGTGTACTTGATCCCAGAGATTCTGCTTCATAAATGTACTGAGAGTACAAGTTCAGTTAATTACAGGTCAGAAGAGGGAAAAGGAGAGAAACTGGAGGAAAATAACAGAAAGAGAAGAGTTCACAGGCTGAGCTGAACACAAACACACAGACACACTCCCACACACAGTTGGTGAGTCAGTTTCTAGCTAGCTTACAGCTGATGTCAGTAACGTTGGTCCACTGACTGTTACATTACATGGACAGCATGAATGGTCCAACAGTTAAAGGTTTGAGAATAAAGCTATGTAGATGAAAATTCTGAGTTATTATAGTTTTGTATTTTTAATTTTTGTTTTCAATTCTGTTTACAGAGTGGGTTTGCTCATTTTCAGTGTTGTTTGGAGAGAGCCAGACTAACTGTTTCCATCTGTTTCCAGCCTTTATCCTAAGCTAAGCTATGCTGTAACTTATCTGATTAATATAAGTATTGATTTTCTAATTAAAACTCTTAGCAAGAACGCAAATAAGTTTCCTAAAATGTAAAACTGTTTCTTTTAAAACAACATCACCGAGTCAAAGGTCTTTAGTTGCAAACATGAGAACTGGTATTCCTCCTCTAACTATTCAGGTTAGCAGATTAAAAGATATTCACTGCCTTTACTTCTGTGTTGTATTGTACTGTACTGTGTGTACAGACTACTGAGTGTCAGTGTTTCATGAAGTCTCTCGACAAAACCCTCAAGTAATACTAGAATATGCTTTTAATGGTATCATATGAAAATGTATGCACTGCAGTCTGGTCTATCTGCTTTATATTCATTTATGGTTCCTTATACTAGGCTGAACATATTTGTATGCGAGACGCAAAAAGAAACCTTCATCATCATCATCAGTCATCTGAAAGGAGAATACTGTTGTCTACACTACGTTTATGTTTCCCCGGTGATTCTGCAGTGCAGTCTGTGTGTAGTTCATTTTATGTATGCATACCGTTTACATTTTCATTAAGGTTTTATTGCATTTAAAATTCAAGCTTTGCTGATGCAGCAGTTAATCTTGGATTTAACTTTCATTACAGCGCATAACAAAACGCCCCAAATGTGGCTTCACATATTCAAGGTGACGTCTGTTGCTTGTTTGATTAGTTAGGTTGTAACATAAAGGCACAACAAAATGAATCAAACCTGAGAAAATCTTGAAAAATTGGTAGAAGCCAAATGTTCTTGTCTATAGAGAGTCCTGTGTATAGAGAGGCGAAGCAGAGGATCGAACCACTGACCGTGTGATTAGAGGACAACCAGATCAACCAGGTATTCTCCTTGTTGAACTGTATATGATGTTGAAAAGTAGGCCTGGACTCCGCCATGAGAAACAAGCTGAATATGAAACACTAAGATAAAAGTATGTTGCTTCTGAACTGCAAAAGCAATTAGACAGGATAACGATTTAAACCTCATGTGCAAATTTCTTACTTAACCGCTGCAACACTGCTGATTTACATCACCGCTACCACAAAATTCCCAAGTGCACCACAACCCCTCAGGCTCAAATGAATGAATTTGGCCAACCAAGCATCAGCGAGGGTCGTCATTAAGCAGTCTGGGTTGGATAACACCCACAGTTTCCCACTGAGGTCCCTGAAGAGATAATCCAGGTGACAATAAGTGACAACTGCAAGTAGTGTCTATGTGTATGACTGAGTGATGGTTTACTATTGGTAGTGCAGCTTTATCCTAATTGGCTGGTCTCCCCTCCCCAATGTGCTCTGACTTCTATTAATAGAACAGCAGACGAGCCCGGGTGGAACCTGATGCCTCCCTTTTCTTGAGCAACAGAGAGGACCTCCACATCCTCTCTGTTGCTAATTTGCTCCCTACGTTTTTCCCCCTTCTACGATCACAAGGGATAGAAAACTATCTGCCTCCTTCTCTCTCCTGCCCGTGTTTCCCCCCTAGTATTTTAGCCTGTGTCCTTGTTTAATAGGCTGATCCCTCCATCATTAATTAAACATGATCACAGGCCATGTGTCTCTCACTGCGCTCGGATCTGCGTTTAGGCTACGCATCCCTCTGCTCTTCGGTTCCCTCTCTCCCGTATCAGGATTTTTATTTCTCAAATAAAGATCCTACACTCTACTTGTTTTTCATCTGTCCCTTCTCACTTTACCTCTCCTCATTCTGTTTCCTTCTCTTCCTCCGCTGTGCCCCTCAGGTGGTCTCTCTTAACAGCAGTAAATTATTCATCAGGCTGATATCCGCCCAGGAGACAAAACCAATGGATAGATGTACAGATAGAGATGAATAAATAAAAAGGTAAAAATGATACATCCGGCGTCTACTTCACCATTTTGTCCGAGGATGTGTGTGTGTGTGTGTGACGTGCCAGCGTGTGGGAGCACTGGTATCCCTGTTTGGAAATCCGGGATCATTCCGGAGAAGCATTCACGATGCCAGAAAATGCGGAAGCCAATGATGGTGATAATGAGAGAAGGAAACCTTCAGCAGGAAAACCAGGCCAAACCGTCGGCCTGCCAAAGACAGCAAGGGAGGGGCAAAAAAGAAGGAGAGAGAAATAAAGGGGGGGGAAAAAGAAACACAAAAGGATGGAGGGAAAATCAAACTAAATGTCATGGAGCCTAGCAGTCTGTCATGCAAAGTCAAATCCAGCAAATATACTCCGTTGTGTCGGAAGCAGTTAAAATGTGTGCCAACTTGTTAGTAAATAATGCGCAAGGATAACATCACAAACTGCAATACTAGACGTGGACTTGTGTTTAACTGTGTGCAATAGGCTGCAATGAGATAACACTGAGGGAAGAATACATCTTTAAATATACTTTAATATTGTGTTGAAATTTGGGAGTGATTTTTTATCGTTGGACATCTTAGATGACACAAAATAAGCGGGTTTTTCTGTAAAGTTCCTGGAAAAGATGGGAATGGTAATGTACAGGGAAAGGTGGAGACAGTGTCATAAAACATAAAAATGCTCCACAGAAAGAACAAATGAAATAAAGAATGATAAAATAAATGCTGAAAAAACAATAAATAAATAAACAAATTATAAACCAATAATAATAAAAATAAAAAACAGGCCGCTCAAATAAATAAAAATGTGCTTTCCGAAAAGACTTGACATTGACTCAGACAGACTTATGTCCTCAGGCAGGTTGTTCCAGAGCCTCGTGGCCCTGATGGCAAAACCTCTGTCCCCTTTAGTTTCCAGCCTGGACTCTGAGGATCTAAAACTACACTAAGGGTCATAAGGAATTAAAAGGTCTAAAATATAATCTACAGCCAGGCCATAAAGATAATTAAAACTAATCATCAAGATCAACAAACAGGGAGCCAATGTAAAGAGGCTAAAACCAGTGTGATATGGTCGTACCTCTTGGTTTTGGCTAGAATCCTGGAGTTCTGAATATTCTGTAGTTGTTTTTAAAGTTGAATAATCAAGGCGTGAGCTAAAAGCATGTACACCAGTTTTCTGCATCTCTAGAATTTAGAATATATTTTATTTTTGCAATATGATAAAAACAAGGTTTGTAATATGTTGCTTAGCATACTGAGGTCAGTGGGCTTAACAGGGAGGTACAACTGTGTGTCATCCGCGTAACAGCGAAAAGAAAGTCCATGTCTATGGATGACCCAAGGGGAGCATATAAAGACAGAACAGAATTGGTCAAAGAATTTACCCTTGAGGCACACCATAGTTATTAAGGGAAAAAGACGACATGAAGCTGTTAATGGGGACACAAATATTCATATTTGACAAATGTGATGAGAACTTAGCAGACTTTTCTGCTAATCGAACGAGTGCTTTTGTGAGTGCACAGCAAGAATGTGTAATTTCTCTAAAAGGCAAGCAAGCAATTCAACATATATGAAAAATAAAGTTTCCAAAGATTAATAATAACAAAATTTACTTGGACTTAAACTGAGCAGTTCTTTAAAGGAAATTCCTCTTGAAATTACTAACGAAGCAAATAAAATGTCTCTATTGTTCTTATAATTAGCACCAAATTACATTGTTTTTACAAGAAATCCTAACCTTTATTAGAAAATGATGATCCAATCAAATAATACTTTACAAACATTATACATAAACTGTTTTGATGGTGCATCAAAAGTGCATTTTATGCCCCTACCTCATATACCTGCAACTAATCAGTCACAACTGTCACAACTTTACTGTTTTTGTTCACTGTCATCGCTCTCATCAGCAATGTTACAGCAGGCAGTTGTTTTCAGCTAAAAAATGTTGGCTACCTGCCCAACACCAACCCACAGACATACACAATTACTGACTAGCTGGTGAACATTTAGCAGCTAAAGAGCCAGATAGTTCCCTCATGAGCTGGTGGAGACCAAAAACAGAGCTAAAAGAGATTAAATATTAGACTTATATTCATCAGGTGGCCAGAAACAAAAACAAAACAGCCAGATGTGTCAATACTGGAATACTGTTTGCTAACATGTTCACCTTGAGATCATATGTCAATGGTGTGCTCAATGTGTTTTTGCTGCCCCCAAATGGCCAAAAAAAAGTTTAAGATCACAATGACATCACCCTGTGGAGTGGGGTGTAGCACCTCCAGCGCAGGAGGATAGACTTGGAGATGGCTTGTGAGAGCTGAGACCACCAACTCACCTGGTGCCCCTTTGAATAATTACTCTCTCTTTTTTAAATGCAGTAGTGTGCTGGACCTGAGATTGTTGCTGCACACTCACCAGGGAGGACTGCTAGAGTTATTTGTTGTGGACTTTGGAAATAGCTAAAGAAGCTGAGTATTTTTGTGTTGACAGTGTGTGCAGCCACAAAAGTAATACATTTGTGTTTGTTAATTGATCTGTTGTGCTTGGTTGTGTCCTGGGGGAAGCCATGGTTGCAGAGAGACCTGCTACAATCACACTTACAGTACGTCCTGTGAATATTTGTTCCATTCACATCAATTGAAGTCCATACTACCGATCAAGCATGCTCTTCCTGTTTCTGTGTGGTCTAGCAGGTCAGAGTTCAGCTTTGACCTGTGAATATAAAGTTGACAGTGTGTATGGAAATATAATTATTCCAGTGGTTTGTTATCTTTTTGTTGCACAATGTAGCTGCAATATAAAACCCTGCTAAATAAATCTTTCTACAATCTGCAGCATCTTTTTAGTCAGTTATTACTCTACTAAATATTTATTTATTACCGTCATCGAAACAGTCACAATTTCTTTTCAGTGCTGATTGAGGGGTAATTTTGTTAAACAGATGCTACTGTGAGCAGCACTTGTTGCAGAAGTTTATTAAGTAACCCATTTCTTTCAAGCCTTACAATACGACCTTAATGCGTTTGTATACGCGTAGTAATTCCCTTATGGTATGTGTCCACAGGATAAGTCGTTTTCACACTTCCCATTCATTGTCTGTGTAAGCAGCCGTGCAATGCATTCTGGTAGTGCCGCTGTGCATTTTGAGAGACGGGGCGTCACGTTGCCTGCTCCTCATTTGCATGAAGTAGATGTCTAGGCTACTTTATGGAAATCAGGGGCCTTCACCGCCTCTGGAAGCTCATGAAAACCTTTTGTACTAGCCATTGTCAATCTAAAACACAGACAGATTCAGCAACTGCATGACTTATTTCTTGCTTAGAATGTTTTCAGAAACACATTTCCGTGAACTATTTTCATATTATAAGAGAAAGTTTCAGAAATGTAGCTTTCAGAAAGCATTTGTCCAATCAAGTGCAGCCAGGAAGCATTTGCACGGTTAGAGGGTGTAGCTTTTTGTTAGTTAATAAGACTACAAGCATCTAATACTGGGAAGCCGTGTGACCCCTCTGTACGTCCAAAAGCACCCCTGTGGACACGTACCATTATTCTGGTTATAATCTACTAATTATTGTTGTTGGAAAGGAAATGAACAGGTGCAGCAGGTTCCCACCTGCTCTCTTTCTCTCACGACTGTGGCTGGAAATTCAGGAAATTACACACTGAAGAAGAAGTCAATGAAGCAGGCTGAGGAAAGCTGGGACTCTTTAAAAAATGTCCTAAAATTTTGTGAACTTCACAGTTTACTGACACATGAGATTGGATTTTTCCCTCAGGTATCCAGCTTGCTAATGTGTCTGCATAGAGAAGTTTTGATGTCTCAAATTAGGTAGGAGAAAATCAGTGGAGGATGTGGCATCATATCTGGTTTTCTAAGCCGTGACCCATACTTGAGGCAGTTAGACACATCATCACAGTCACCATGGCAACAGAATAGCCGTTTGTGATGTTTCCACAATTAGATCCACATATAGCCCAGCCTCTTTATCATCCTCCATCGCTTTCTATCGATCCAGTGTTTCATCATCAGACCCCAGATGTCTGTTACAACTGCCTCTTCCTCTTTGTGTCTGTAGGTCTTTGGTGTCTATGTTAATTATCTGTGGTTGTATATGTTTGCATATGAATGTGTGTGTGTGTTTTGCTAATCTCTGGGGAGGCTACCCTCCATTTTCAGCTTATCATAGCCACTTCCATATAATAATGAGCAGGTTAACCTCTGAAGATTCGCTTGACCCAAACTCAAAATTACGTTCTCCTCTGAACTCAGATCATCCATAACACTGCTCGGATCTGTTAGAACCAATAAAAAACACCATTACACAAAGAAAACTCACAGTTTAGACTCCAATCCTATGAATGTGACTTCAAATCTCCAGTCAAAAGACATCAAAACCATCTTTTATGTAATGTGACTGTTTGGATCGTTTCAGCAACGATACCTGTGTTAAAGCTACAAAATCTAAAAATTAAAAGATTTGGCCTTATTGGTTATTGTTCTAACTTTTGATACCATTTTGCACACCGTATACGGTAAATTCTCAGATGTGTGTTCTCATCATCAAATGTCAAACACCGGTCAGAGATCAACATGCTGGACATTGTTTCTCCGAGCCTTAAACCTGGCAAGGACAAAGTTTTGGCTGACGTGTTGTCACGCTGTTGAGTTTTTAAATGTTAAAGTTGTTTATGAATAATGTGGATAGAGTGTAGACATTTCATTCTTTCCCTATATTACATCATCTTGGGTTGGTTCGGTGTACATAATTAACTACCGTGTCTCATCATAGAAATGCTTCTCCCTCTACACTCTGAGAGGGAAGAGCTCGTAACTGATGGCAGTGTCATTGTTGTCAGACAGTTTTTTCTTTTTTACAGAGTTTAATATTGTGCATAAGTGTGCTTCTTACTATTAGCAATACATATGTTTTATTTTGAGTAACTTTCTGATGGGTTCTTATTTGTTTTACAGTCTCTGTCTGAGACCATACTTGTTGTGTAAAAGGTTGTAACACAGAACAAAAGGAAAATCAAACCTACATTCTGTCCACACACGCATATATGCAGACAGACATACAGGTTTGTGTTAAAACGAGGTAAAAACCAAACTTCAAGACAACAGTTTCGGCAAAGTTTGACAGTAAGATTTAATGAACGAACAACCATGCTGACTTAACACTTCCACGATCACATCACAAACCCAGAATATTTCCATCAGGTCCGCCGTCGTAGCCCGAGGTTTAAAGCGAGCTGAAATTCAGTTCACGAGCCGCTTTTTTTTTCTTTTTCTTTTTTTCTCGATAATTCGACCTCAACTTCCAAAATCACTTCTTGAGACACAAGTGGAATGAAACGCAACAGAATATGGATGAGCTCAAACTGTCTGACTTTCTATCAGAAGCCCCGTTTCAGAGGCAGTTAATTTTCGTCTTTGCTGTGATGAATACTCTTGTCTGTGACCTTTAGACATGTGTTTGACAACCGTGTATTGTGTCTAGTTATTAGCTCAGTGAGCTCTTGCAGTCTAGGAGTCATTCAAATTCAAACACAGACTGAATGAAAACATTGTGTGTGTGTGTGTGTGGTGTGTGTGTGTGATGTGTTGTAACGTTGCAAGTACCCCTTAACGAATCATTGATCATCCTCCTCTGACTACATATCCCTGCTTTTTTTTTTTTTTTTTTTTTTTTCGTGACAATTTCCTACGTAGTCGATGTACCGTCACTCGTGGATGACGGTGAAACAATGTGACATTGTAAGAGAACCTGGTGTCCGTTGTTCCAGGTGTACAGCGCTCTTTCTCTGGGGTTGTAGTCCATCATGCTGATGTGGGAGTACTGGTTGTGGAAGGGGATGTCAGTGTACTCGTACGTGGAGGAGTTGGTGTGGTAGGCAAAGTGGACCTTGGCCCCGGCCAGGTGGGAGTTGGTGACATACAGGGTGCCGCAGATCATGAAGGCCTCCCCTGCGCTGCGCTTAGGAAACCCGGTGTCCCAGCTCTGGAGGACTTCCAGCGAGCGAGAGTCCAGACGACTCACCTGGAGAAAGAGAGGGAGGGTTTTTCACAGAGAAACACAACACCATAAAACAACTGGTTACAGAGATGTGTAAAGCCTTTATACTTCTGCATGGAATTGGCGCCGTGGGTACGGTGTAGGTACAGCATAGCCTCAAAGCCTGAAGTGCTTCTCTCCAGTAATATAACTACATGTCGCAGCGACTCAGACAATTGTGACTGTGTGTGTGTGTGCATTGTCTGAAAATAAAAAACCCAGATGAGTTAATAATGCTGTTTGAGAATCCCTTGTCAAAAATACACACACACACATTCTCAGTGTATCCTCAAACACACACAGACAAACAGGCAAACCCAGGATGCTGCCTCGCTGCATGACATGCTCTTGTCTGTCCCCTCGTATTCCCTCGTCCTATTGTTTCACAGGCAGTGTGCGTGTGTGTGTGTGTGTGTGTGTGTGTGTGTTTGAGGAGAGAGATTTTCAATTTCAGTTGAAACAGTGGCATAGAAATCCCACCACCAACTAGTGTTTCGGTGGTGCTATTTGCAGAGCACCGCAGACACACCGGTGAAAGTATAAATGCTCATAACGGCATAGGTAACTTGCGTAGGCTCCTGTTTTAACAATCCCATGTTTGTTGGATTTAATAGCTGCCCCCATTGATGGACAGTAACTAATTGTATTTAATCACATGTTGAAGTGATTTTTTTATAAAAACTGGCCGAGCTGATATATTGGTCAATATTATAATACATATATCTATATTGGCATATATGCCAGCCAATGAGCTCAAACAAATGCATTTTTAACGTCTTGCTCTCTTTTATCCTGCAGTTTTCTCCTTGTTAAAATAACTTTTCTTTGGGGTTTAATTTAGTTTTATGAGTTGGATGAATTGTGTTTTGCTCAGCTCTTCCTATTTAATTGAAATTTATTGAAACCTGTCTGTCACTCGCACACACTCTCTCTCACACACACACACACACACACACACCACAGTCTCCTCACACTGGTGCACAGTAAAAGAGAAAATTAGCTGTAAACTTTATATTAAAATTATGTTAGGAAAACTAAAATACACTTGCTGTTCATTATGATGAATGACATTATTCAACCCAGCAATGTGTCTCTGTCAGCTATTTAAATTGATTTTTGACTTCTAGAAGTAAAGCAAACATGCGGACAGCAATAACTTCTGACTAAAACAAACATCAGTGGATTTATATTTAGTTTAAGTCAATCAACATTTAATGTGTCTTATTCAAATAGTGTTAGAAAACATCTTCATATTCTTTGCTTGTTATTTTGCAGAGTGCAGGGACACACACACACACACACACACACACACAGTGGCAGACTGTACCATTATGTTTCCAGCATTTGGGATGGAGGTATAGACGGCCCAGAGTCCCATCTCATCAGCCATGAGGTCGATGTCAGAGGATCCTCCCCAGCTGTAGGGAAATGTGTTGTTGTACCCGGCTCCACTAAGACTGCGCTGGAGCAACACGCTGCGAGAGCGGAAATGGTACTGAACCTGGAAAGACAGACGCATACATTTCTCACTCTGATCATCTGATTATCAAAAATGCTACTTCCTCCCTCCAGCCAGTCTCCTACCAGGATGTTGCTCTGGTGTTTGTTGTAGTAGAGCGACCCGTTGTAAACCACATGTCCGGTTCCTGCCCAGGGGTGGGGCAACAGATGCTGCACAAAGTTCTGCCCTTTTGTGAAATCCCCCATGGTTCTGTACTCCAGCACACGCCTGCCTTTATAGTAGCCGTCCATCGACCACACCTGGTGGAGGAAGAGAGGGAAACAGATCTTACCTCCAGGATGCAATATTAACACCCACCAAGCATTAATCCTGTTAAATGTGCAGAGAGATCCATAATGGTCACTTGCCACGCTTTGCAGTAACTTGATTAGATAATTACATGGTGTTTTTGGCTGGTACTCAAACTCTGTCCCTGTTGGCTACCACACACCTTCAGCCAATGAAATCAAGTCAAATCAGTGACAGCGAACCAAACATATGTAACTGACTCCGATAAAAACCGCTCACCCTCACAACGGTTGTCTAATCACAGCATAGCAACCGTAACTAGTCACAGCAGGTCTGTCCAGCTTTTGATTATTTCTCCACATGCTGAAGAGGTGGGCATGTGGCTGAAGTTTAGAGGGCTGTGCTTATTAAATTGCTTTTCCTAAAAATACAAAAGTATACCTCCAATGTAAGGGGCAAACGTTGGCATGTTTTGCTAACTAACTTATCACTTATGGACCTGCAGCGTTACTTCCAAAACCAAGGAACAGGATTACAGGTTAAACTAGAAAACCCACTGTGTGGAGGCTGGTCCTGAATCCTACTGTATAAGTAAATGTTGGCAGCTCAGTTCTGCTAACAACTATTCTGAAAATGGATTCAGCGTTAAGGTAACATTTCATGTTTTCAGCCTCTCAAATATGGATAGTTCCTTTTCTCTGTTTGATATCATATTAAACTGAACTGAACTTTTGGAAAATATGAATCATTAAAGCATACATCAAGCATCTTTGTTGCTTGTCCAAGTAGACTATATTCTATTCTATAAAAAGCATTCTAACATAGTTATGTTCCATCCACATCACAGTCTGATCTTGTATTTTCCTTATCATTACTGCACTATAATAAAAGAGATAACTAGCTCTCCACAATCAAACAACAATGCTGTTTCTTTATTTCCATATCTTCTATCAATCTTTTTGCCAGAGACATGAAGCTTTAGCCTTTTTCTTTTAGCACATTTTCATGTATGCAGCCATCAAGTGAATATTCAAAACCAGCTTGTTGAAAGAAAGAGTCAGCAGGAGACAGAGTTTTCAACCCACACACAGTTAACGTTAATTAGCTAACAATTGCTAGCTATAGCTAATAAAATCTGCTAGATGGTTTTCTGTTTTCAGTGGAGGTGAAAGAGAAAACCATCAGAGATCCCTGGAGAAACAGACGAACAGAGAACGGGAGAAGATGAGGGGAAAGAGATGAGATGGGAGGGAAATTGAGTGTCGAAAGCATGGAGAATTAATTACCCGAAGAGGGACGAGAGGTGAACTAGATGAAAGAAAAGAGCAGAGAGCGTTAGCGAGAGAGAGCATTGTTGGTGAAAAAGACTCTCGTTATTCTCACTGCAAACAGAGGAAAGTAGAGAGGGCAGAGAAGAAGGAGCAGATGAAAAGGATCTTTTTTTTTCATGGGTCAAAGAAAAGAAAAATGACACTTGCATTGGTAGCACCATTTTTTTAAATTACAGTTAATTTGTAGCCGCAATATTCAAAAGTCGTATTGAATTAGAGACTTTCAGACAAAGGTAACTGATTGCAGTGATTCTGAGGGACTTCAATAACACAATGTTTAATTGAGACTCAGCTTGTGGTTTGCAAAGACAATGAAACAGACTGATTGCTCTCTGTCTCTACCACCAACACTCTTCTCTCCTCTAAATATTTCCCATTCCTCCCTAGTTTTTCTCCCTGCTTCACCAGCTCATCTGATGAGGCTTTCTCTGTTTTAATTCCCTTTAAAACAGTGTTTCAAAGGAACAGGAGTCCCTTTGTTTTCTGGCAGCTGTAATCTTCTTGCATTTGACTGCACCATTTGCTTTATATAAACAAGCTCCAGACGCTGATTATACAACAAACGGTGAGTGCAAGAAAGTGAGTGGGGACTTTTCTAGCTGTTTCTTGAACTTGCGCCTTCCCCTTCAGCTTACACCGATTCTCCAATTAAGAATAGGTTTGGATTTTTTTAAGTCTATCCTAACACAATACTCGCATGCTGTGAGGTGATCACTTTGTTTTGCTCACTGCTCTGTAAAAGATAGAGATCAAAATCCATAGTTCTAGTTCTTTCTTCTGTAAATATTTGCTTTTTATTTTCATTGGCTTAGGTCACTTTCACACCTGTAGATATAGAAAAAATAAACTTGAAAAAAAGTCACTGAACAACATTTGAAATAATGAATAAATTATGAATATTCAGATTTTTTTCATCTGTGCGGCCTTGGGTGGAAAATTCTTAGCTGCAGAGCTCTATAATACTGAATAACATTATTCTATCTAATGTTTTGCACATGGTGGTGTTAAAAAAAATATCAAAGCATCGATATGTTTGATAACCTTGCCTTTTAGTTGGTCCAGGTTGTGTTCACAGTAGTAGTAGTTTTTTTTTACAAACAAACTAACAGGATTGAACACAAAGTCATGTGGAGTGACAAGAAACTAATTGACTGAACCTAACTAACCGAACACACCTCTTTTAACCCAACCACAGTGGACAAGTCAGTGGGAAACACTATTTGAAAGAAAGAAATACTCTCCGGAAAACAGAAAAAATGAATTTTTTACTAAAAAAGACCCATTCAATTTGTCTCTCTCAACTCAGACTGCTAAAACCTCATGTTGTCTCACAGCTTTCGTCCTTTATTTGTTACAGTGGAGTCACGCTAAAAAAGGATCACATCACGGTCAGTATGGAGAAGAATGATTTCAGCAAACAATGACACTTAAAAAATTCAAATCTTTACTGTTTACCGCAACATATCTTGACCTCCTTTTCCCCCACTTCCTCTCTTCCCCTCTGTGTTTTTTTTCTTTGTCATTGCCTCCCATGCTTCTTTCATCCCATCCTGCTTGTCTGTCCCGACTGTTGGTCTTTTGATCAACCTTCTCCCGCTTCCTCCCGACTCTCTTTGTTTCTTTCCCTTTCTGTCCACCCACTCTTTCATTTTCCTGTCTCCCTGCTTCACACCGCTACACCAAGGGGCCTCATTCTCCTTCTCTCTCTCTCTCTCTCTTTCTCTGCTCTCCCATCTATCTCATCCTCTCTCTCCCTCTCACACTACAGCAGAGACATCTTGACAGATCAGGGGATATCCACACCTCAGCAGCTGTTCTCAAATACAGCGACAGGTGTGTGCATGCGCGTGTGTGTGAGTGTAAAGTATAATGCGTGCGTACACACACATTCACACACACACACGCACACACACACACACACACTGATGAGCTAATGAAGAATTCATAAATGCCAAACTGGGACCCTGTGCAGACACTGTAGTCATGGATACCAAAGGATGTATGAGAATGACTTTACTTACAGTTTGTGTGTGCGTGCGTGCATGTGTGCGTGCGTGCGTGTGTGTGTGCGTGCGTGGTGTGTGTGTGTGAGTGAGAGCGTGTGTGGCACTTGTTCCACACAACCTTAACTGGTAAGATACAGGTTGTCCAGCCTGGAAACGTATATAATTTTATTTAAGAAAGTAACATGTACAAATAAAAACAGAAATATGTTTGCCGGTTGGTAGGTGATGTTTTTGATGCTTAATATCAGCAACCGCGTAATCATGACCTTATGAAATATCAAAGGCCGTCAAGGTCATCTACACGTACACGCCGGGAGTGTGCACAGACATCATGGTTTGGATTTATATCTGTATTCCTTAAGAAAAAAACTCATGCAATAAGTGCATTGTTCTACAAACAGTCAGTATAATAATGAAGTACACGAACAGCAACAACATCTGTCAAGGTCACAACATTTTCTTTTTTTCTTTGCTTTTTATGCGTCTTTTTGCGTTTTCATTCAGCAGCACCACAGATTAAATGAATAGCCGTTCAGCAGCCCACTCTCACACAATATGTGAGGGCGTTCAATAAACCCTGCACTACTCTGTGTGTTCTGAAAAACGTTCAATTGTAAAGTAAAGAAAATGTCATTTAGAGGATGTTTTGTAAAATGTGGAAGCTGGAATTTGCAGCACTTGGTCTTTTGTGCCTGCAGTCAGGTTTTTCATCATGTGGCCAGAAACCTCCAATGGGACGGTAATGCTGCTCTGTGTCTGCTGGATGTGTTTTTAAAGCCGCTCCTTTTCCAGTGATTGTTTATGGGGGAAAATGCTTTTTAGGGCCAGCCCAGGAGTGGCTGTAAAATGCTGAATAAATGTTTTCAAGCATGACAAACACTCTGAAAAGACTGTTTTATCACAATGTCCTTACGCAGAAGTAGAAGGAAGCCTGCAAAGACTTTTTCGCCGGATGTGCCCAACGAGCAACTTATCATAGAGGTTCAAATCATAGAATTGAAAGGGGCACATTTTTAGGGGGAGTATCCAGTTCTCCTTAAATACATCCTTGGTTTACTGGGAACAATACAGGTTTTAAACACATATTATATATTCAAAAAATCAGCTCTCCGAATGGAAGGAAATGCATCTGACATGTTTGCATCAAGGATACGCACAGTGCATTTTGGTCAGTTTGTTTACAAGAGAGCTCCACAGGGCTCCTTTAAGCTTGATAAAAGTGATTTCAGCAGATTACAGCTTTTTATAGTTTGACTGGCTTATTTATCCAGACATAACATTTACTGGCTGAATGTCAAACTTAGATTCAGGAGCATCTAGTACACAGCTCTAAAAGACAGAGACAGAAAAAGCCTCCTATTCTTGGGACAGAGATACAAACACACACAGGGACCGGGAAAGAGCCCTCACCCATAACCTCGTAACTGTAACAACAGTCACACTGGTAACTGGGAAACAGAAAGCAATAACTGGGATACTGCTGCTGTGTATAGCTTCTTCTCATCACCAGAGAGCAGCTCTAATAGGGAACAGGCAAGGGTCACCATGGCGATATAAATCACACCTGGCAACTGGGAGACAGTCGCCTTGACAACTAGCTTAATATGCGCTCCCTGAACAGAGTGTGTGTGTGTGTGTAGGAAATTGGTGAAGCTTGTAGCGAGTGAAGACAGAGTGCACACAGGAGTCATGTTAAAAGTAAGGCAGAAAGACAGAAGAAATACATTAAGAAAAATATAGTGCTACCTTGTGACCACATTCATAACACCTGCTTCACTTGTCATGTACACACACACACACACACACACACACACACACACACTGTACACCTACTC